TTTTTTGAATATAATATAGTAAAATCATACTTGAAAGTATCATATATTATACTCAAACTTTTTTTGTATGCAATTTTCTGGATTTTAACATGTCTATGTTTATATAAACATATCGTAATCAGAAGACAAAAGTTTCATCACCCTCACAACTTCTTTTTGCTGTCCTTCTATAGCTACACCCTTCCCCACATATACACCAGGGAAAACTAAACTTTTACTTTTGCTATACTTTTATTGTTTTTTTTTTGTACTGGTGATTGAACTCAGAGGCAATCAACCACTGAGCCACATCCCCAGCCTTATTTTGTATTTTATTTAGAGACAAGGTCTCACTGAGTTGCTCAGCACCTCACTTTTGCTGACACTGGCTTGAACTCATGTCCTCCTTCTTTAGCCTCCCAAGCCTCTGGCATGTGCCACTGCACGTGGCTACTTTTATCATTTTTAAAATGTCATATAAATGCAGTCATAGAGCATTGTGGCAGACAAACCTTAAAAGACCCACCCCCTTGTATAATCTCTTCTGCTTGAGTGTGGATAGAACCTGCACCTTGATTCTTTTTAAATTTTTTTCTTTAATTTGTAGATGGACACAATACCTTTAATTCATTTATTTATTTCTATGTGGTGCTGAGGATCCAACCCAGTGCCTCACATGTGTGAGGCAAGTGCTTTACCACTGAGCCACAACCCCAGCCCTATGCCTTGCTAATCAATAGAATTTCACAAAGATGATATAATGCCACTCATTCCATTGATTGTTAGGTTATATTAAACTCTGTAATAGTTAAATGTATAGAGAAATAGGAAAGAATAAGAGAAAGGGAGGAGGGAGGCAGGTTAGATGCAGAATCAGGAACAGCATTTTCTAAATTCCATTGACTCCTGGCATATAACTATTTTAAATACGTGTGTTCCTTCATCCATTCATCTCATACACATTCACAGAGTATTTTCCATTTACGAGGAGGAAGATAAGTATCTTAGTGATAGTGATTAAGAGCATAGAACCTGGAGTCAAAGCAGCATGGATGTCAAAGAATTTGACATGTGCCAAATACTCTCTGGATATCCTAGTAAAAATTCATTAACCTCTCCAATTCCTCATCTCCAAAACAAGGATACTCATAATACCCGCTATTTTATTCCATTTTGTGCTGCTATAATGTAATAGTTGAGGCTGTATCATTTATAAACAATAGATATTTGTTTATCTAACAGTTCTGGAGGCTGGAAAGCCCACAACAAAGAAGTGCATCTGGTAATGGTCTTGCTGTGTCACTGCATGGCAGATAGTATCACATGGTGAAGGAGCACACAGAAAGGGAGAAGGGTGCCAAACTCATGCTTTTATCACCAACCCACACCTATAATCACTAACCCACTCTTGTAGTAATAGAATCAATATATTCATGAGGTGATAGCCCTCATGACTTGACTACCTCTTAAAGATTCCACATCTCAACTTTTACATTGGGAATTATTTCCAAAACATGAAGTTTGGGGGAATACATTCAAACAGATTTTGTGAGAATCAAGCTGGGTGAGGTATATTGAGTACAAGCAGAGTGCCTGGCATATGGTAAGAAAACATTAATGTTTTTAATATTACTGTTGTTGTGAAGAATGAATCACTTATGGGACTGTCCTCCATGAAATAATCATGTGATAATTAAATGAAATCATATATCAAGTACTGAGAATAGAACCCAGAACTTTTTTGGGTATTAGGGTTTATATATCGATATTATGTATCTTTATTACTATAATATTAGCATTTATTATTATTGGTTATAATTCTTCTCCAACTCCTTCTCCTAACAATTAAATATAAAATATTAAACATGGAATTCGTCTTTCACTTTTTCTGGAAAATCACCTTTCCTGACTTATGTGCAAAATGGAAAATGAAAATAACAAACACAAGAAAGTAAATTTAATGACCATACGTTGTGTGCATTTGGATTTTTCCAAATATTTGAAATGAGAAAACAAAAAAAATATATAATGAAACATAAAATCAATTAACTCTCCTCCTTTAAATAAACCCAATGAATCTCTACATCATGTACACCCACAAGACTGGGATCCTAATTATAATAAGATATACTCCATGTTTGCATAAATAAGTCAAGTTATACTCTACAGTCATGTATAACTTAAAAGAACAAAAATAAAGCAATAATAAATAAAAATAAATAAATCCATATTCACATTGGCCCAATAATCCTATTTAAATTATATAGAAATACTTAGAAAGAATTAATTCTACAATAATAATGACTTTTTTGTTTGTGGTGATTAAAAGATCAAGTACTTCATTCTACTATTAGAAACAGACTGGAAAACACAGTGACTTAAGTAACACAGAAGTTCATTGTTCCACCACATCAAGCTTGAAATGAGGTGGTCCCATTATTCAGGGGCTCAAGATCATCCATCCCTAGTGAGTTACATCCTTTTTCTAAGTCACTTCTTGGTTTAGAATGGTTGTCCTAACTGTATCTATCATGAGCAATTTCTAGAAAGCAAGAAAATGGGAGAAAGTGAAAAAAATTAAAAATATAAATATAAAATTAAAAAAATATTTATTCCCCTTTGATTAGAATCCAATCTTCACAACAATATTTGTTTGTATTTGTAAACAAGAAATTCCATGGTGTACAGTGAGAAAGTCTGGAAAAAAATAATATTTTAGGAGCTCATACTGCTACCTAGAATATAACTGGGGTTCTGCTCATGAGGAAGAATGAAAAAAGTGAATATTAAGTAGACAACTAGCAATTTATGCCCAATTCATTATAAATATGATACCTGATTGTAGAAAAGCATTAAACAGATAACAGAAATATATTTTTTAAAATGTAAGAGAAAATGTCCTGTGGCAGAGAAAACCAAACTGTTAAATTATATATTCCCCAGCCTTTAAGGCAGTTGGTCCTTCATACCTGAGTTCTGGCTAGTGGACTGTGGCCAGCAGTGATGTTTGCCAGACCTGTCCCTTCAAACCATCCATAAGACTCTCCATCCTCTCTTTGTTGACTGCTAGCTAGTTAAAAAGAATGCACTGAAGGACTTCATGGCAAAAGAAGATGGTAGAGCCATAAGGATGGAAGATAATTGGGTCCCTTAGTGACTACTTAGAACAGTCCCCTCTGGCCACTTGATTACATACATTGAACTTTGACATCAGCAAAATACACTTTTTGATGATTCAGCCTCTGTGATTTAAGGATTATTTATAGCACAAACATTACCTACTCTAATTGTTAGAGCCAAAAAAATATATACCAGCCGGGAGATCACCTTCATTAATTCATTTCTATTTATTGTTCTAACATTAATGTTTATATAAATGTAGATTTTAAAATAATAATATAAATATGAGTAATACTATGTATTATGTGAAACACAGTCCAAATAAAATACTTTATCCACCCCAAATTATCGATAATGTTACTTAAATCTTGAATTTCTACTTTAAATCAGAAATATAAATTTAATGCAGGAGATTTTGATGAATAGATACATAACATATATTTCAGGGGTTGTGGCTCAGCAGTAGAGTGACCTCCTAGCACATGCAAAGCCCTAGGTTCAATTCTCAGCACCACATAAATATAAATAAAGGTATTGTGTTCAACTACAACTAAAAACAAATACTAAAAAAAATGTTTCAGATATAGAAACAAGTAAAGACATGTAATTTAAACAAAATTAGTTCACCTCACATTGAAATGCTCAAATGAAAAACAACAACGAAATAGAAAGGAGAAATTTCCAGTTATTGATGAGGAAATATGAAATGGGTATTTTCCTGCCAAAACAATGATGTTCAACCTCTTATCAAAAATGAACATGTATGCTGGGGGCTTAGCTCAATGGTAGAGTACTTGCCTAGCATGTGTGAGGCACTGGGTTCAATCCTCAGCACTGCATAAAAAATAAATAGAATAAAAGTACAGTGTCTGTCTACAACTATTTTTTTAAAATGAGCATGTATGTGAAGAATTTGTTGAAACCTCCATGAAGGGTTCCAGAGGAGAACTGAGTAAAAGGGGAAACATAATATGTCATGAAATAATAAAATATTAATAAAAATAATAATTTTTAAGAAGTCGATTCTCCCATAAATAGTGGACAGTGTTAATACAATCCCTACCAATTGTAGGTGTCCTGTGTTTGGGATTGGGGTCTCTGATAAACATAGTGATTGTGGCATGCTTGGTGGCTAGGAAGTTTCTGTGCAAAGGCACAGAATGCCTGGCTGCTGGGAACTTCCATGTAAAAGACACGGGATGCCTGGCATGGTAGCAATGTTCTTTACGAGGAAGCTCTGTGTTAAGGGTTTTATCAATTTCGACCTTGATTTTAGGCACATAACTCCTGGGAATAGAGAAACTTGCTTGCTAGATAACTACAATGTTTCACCAAGTTCCGGTGCTCCTGGATCTGTGTGCTTAACAGTAATTTTAGACAATGAACTTTCTTAAGAGCATCACAAAGCTCCTGACATTGCATTTTGTAACTGGAATGGAACTGCAAATAAGCAACCTTACTGATACTCTAAACAATAACGTAGTTATGGTACTAATGACCAAATGTAGCCTACTGGTATAAATAAATGAGGCTGCTTGGTCAAGCAGCCACTTTTCTGCCTTTGCACCTTGTCTCTCTGTCTCCCTTTTTATTTTCCTCACAATCAATACCTTAGCAGTCGTGTTTAGTGCAGTTTGACAAAGCTGGGTTTTACATTTACCTGTAGCAGTAAGATGCTAGAGAAGGCAAGAAAAAAATGTAAAAAAAATATTTAACTGGGTTTTTATCACATGGTAAAGTGATTTGCTGCCTCTTTTCTTAGAGAAATCACCCACTGAAGCATTTGAATGGAAATTAAACAGACACTTGTTGCCATTTCACTTTAAAGTTCTTTTAAAAGGAACATTTCCATACTTCAACATTTCAGCAGTTTGTCTTGGCGTTTCTGTCCTTTAATTCAGGGAGGGGCCTTCTGCTCTTCATCTCAGCCAGTGGGTGGAGCCTTCTCTGAGCTGCTTGGCAGTGAGCTGTGCCTGGCCAGTCTTGGGGGAGGAGCTGCATTTCTCCAGGCTGCAGCTGACAAGAAGCTTCAAGGTAATGGCTGTCTTAAATTTAGCTATTTTCCAGTGACTTCTGAGGGCCCTAGAGTATAGATGTGAAAAATAGGGATGATGGTCTTGGAGTGGTAGGAACGGAGTGTGGTTTTGCGAGAATTACAGGCATTTTGAAGGAATTAGTCCTCTGGAATTTTTGTATCTCCCAATGTTTATAAGTCCACAGTGGGAAAAGGGGTGATCAGATTACAGCCTCTAAATTAAGGCTTCAGTCAGTGCAGCGTGGCCGTTCATACTAATTTATTGAGTTAGCATTATATGTGTATATTGCTAGACATTATGTTTCTGTTTGAAGTTTTAAACATTTATTGATTTACACAAAAATTTAACTGACAAATGTTTTGACAGCATGCATGGAAATACTTCTGTAAATTGATACATAAGAAGACTGTGTGTCACATATACATGAGCATGGAAAGGAGATCAAATATGTAGTCGAGTGAAGATACTCACACATAATATATACATGTATATATGGGTGATTAGAAAGAAATCTGTGAGAAAATAAGCTCTTTTTAACATTCAGCATTCCTGGGTCAGTAGGTTACTATTTAAATACTATTTTATAACCTATTTCCATATTTTAAGAAAGGATTTCTTCATGATTGTTTTTATAATCATGAAAGAAAACTTAAGCTAGAACATAATATCCATTTTGTTTCAGACACATAAACATTCATAGACAAACACACAGACATGCTCCCATAATCCCCCGCCTTTTGCCAATAGTGGAAATTTTCCTGGACCTGATCAAATAGTTAGCCTGGTTGCTGTGTTGACTATATTCCTGTGTGTATCCTCCTTGCAGCTCATTATTTCAGGCCACAGATACAGTTATGGTCAGCAAGAACCATTTTTCTGTATCACCTAAGTTAATAGTGAGACACAATATTTGGTTTATTTGTATAAGCAATTTAAAATATTATATGGGATGGTAAATCCACATAATGGAATATTATGTATCTGGTGAATACAAACATGAATCTGTACATGTGAGTTGAAAATGCCTGAGAAATAGTTTAAGATGAAAAATTAAGTTATAGAATAGCATATATCATATGATCTCTCCTCAGAATAAATAAATATACTAGTTTATATGTATATATGTTACTGTCATCTATGTAACCAAATCTGGAATTGCATATCTGCCAAATTACTAATAGGATTATTTGTATAGTTGGAGAAACAGAGATTGCTTTACTGTTCTCTATTTTAAAAATTAATAATATATACTTATTTATTTTTCACATCTTAAAGGAAATGTTGAGCTAAAATATAGTAGTCTTGAGAAAATTTCACTTAAAATAATTTATAAAACATCATGTGGAAAATATTTATGCTCTTGAGTGAAATCTAAGGCTAGTTTGAAATGATATTTATCTATATATGTAAAATAATTCTAGAATGATACATGCAGAATAGTCATAGAGATTGTTTGTATAGAATTATAATTTCTTTGGTATATATATTTTTGCATCTTTTCAATTTTAAGTGTTTCTGGGTGTTTTTATAATAAGAAACATTATGTTTGAAGACACATATTCCTGTTACAATCCCATACAACAGAACCCTTAAGTTTAGAATAGAGAAGTCTAGAAGCACTGGCAGGCTCCTGGCTGGCTAGAGTGGTTCCCATGCTCTTCCCATAAGAAAGATCTAGTAGTGATTCAGGTCCTGCCTATACCTTATGGGCAGGCTGCAGTTCTGGTTCTGGTCACAAGATGTCGCTTGTCAAACAGCCTAAATTTCTTCCAGGCAATCATTTTTTTGAAGTAGGCAAAAAACAATGAAATTATTTTGTATTAATAGATAGCATATACAGTGTAACTGTGATTCCATTGAAAATTTTGTGTATCAAAAAGAAAGAAGGATACATGATAACTGATATGGATTCAATAGAAAATCTATACTCTGACCTGTAGAACAAGGTAATTGTTACTTCCTTCTTTCCTATTCTGACCTCACACTTTTCCTGAGAGACATGATTTCATCATGAACCAAATAATATAAATGTGTCTCAAAGAACATTTCATATTATAAGGACATGACATCTACATCAGGGATAAGATTTCACTTTGTCTCTGTGTTTCAGAATGACATACTTGATAGTGTTTTGGTAGGGAAATTTCCTTACATTTTTTCCATTTTATTGCCTTGATCCCCTTTCTTCCTTTTGGATATCCTAGGTTAATATCAGAGTTCCATGAGACCTGGGCAATCTGCATGTGATTCCAGGTGAGCCCCAGAAAGACAGTACAACAACAGAAGTGCCCAGCAGGGTGAAGGTTGTGCTAGACAAACAGTCGGAGTAAGAATCAAGACAGCTATATTACAGGACCAGACTATCACAATTCTTGTGGCAGGGTAAGACTATTCCCATCTCATGAAATATTTCACATTAAACACTTATTGAGATCATGAAGAATATTTTGCTTCATGCTTTGCAGCTATGGACTTTAAACTCAAAAATACATTTCATATTAAAATCACATTCAGTTGAACATCTGAGGTATAATTCAACTTGATCCTTGTTCTCTAGCCATAATATTTGTAATTAATGTAAGAAGTTAAAATGTCTCAACTTCTCATATTGAGAATCTTATGTATAAAACCACTAAGCAAAAATTATGCAAGAGGCTTTTCAGGTGTCTACCCAAGTTTTCAGACAATGATCTGGCTCTCAAATACTTGAAACAACTAGGTCCAGTAAGTGTCCATAGTAGCCATTCTGAGTCTCTGTCTTCTGCTTATGATTTTTAGAAGGTCAGTATGTTGTTGTGTAGATGCAGTAGGTACAGACCTTGTTTTGTTTGTCTGGATGCTTTGGTAGAACAGCAAAGCACTTACAACTTAAAAAATATAATGCTGTGTATTTGGCTAGTATACTAGTTCTCAACAAGTTCCTCTTGGACATGTAGCATTGAAATCATTTGAGAACTTATTAGAAATATCAATTTTTGAGCTTAACCCAGACATTCTGATTAAGACTTTCAGGAAGGTGCCTAGAAATCTAAGTCTTCCAGATTATTCTGATACATATTAAGTTTGGAGACCCACTGCCATAGGTCAAATAGTAGAGGGATAAAAATATCAGAGTCTAATAATATAGGTTCCCTGAAACACCACCATAAGCCCTCCCCCTATGCCTACATGTATACACATAACTCCTTAATAAATATGTGCAAGTTCTTGAATTTGACATATTGTAAAACAATTTTCCATTTCCTATCTCCCCTTAAATTATGCTGCATTATTCACTGTCTGATCTTGTATTGAGCATTCTCATCTCTAGTTTATTTCTTCTTGGTTTGCAATTGCTCATATTCTATTTTGACAAAATAATTTTGTTTGCTGATACTTTTTTCCCCCCCATTTCAGTATCTTCGGTATTGTCCTATTCAAACAATTCAAACAACGTGTTCACGCATCCTGGGGTTATTGTAGTGGAGAAGACAAAACACAAGCTATAAACTCTTTGTAGTCCTAAAACAAAAGAGACTTTGTTGAGAGTATTGTTTTGGTAGGAACTGTGTTTGCAGTAACAAGGACAGCAAGCCACCTCAACCTCTGATAAGAGCTCCTTGGCACACAACTCAAAATCATCATGGAAGTTGAGTATGTCCTGTGCAATTGGAAAGACCAGTTATGGCCAGCGAAAGTTTTGTCCAGATCTGAAACTTCATCAGACAGAAAGAGACAAAAGACAATTTCCCTAGAAGTTCAAATACTCTCACTAGATGAGAAAATTGAAGTGGATATCACAGAAACAAAGATTCTTGAGAAATCTCAAGTTGAAGCCATTGCCTCCTCTCTTGTGCTACAGTCAGAGGACAATGCCCCACCTCAAGAGGAAACAGCTTACAGAAGATCACTAAAAGTGGCACTGGATATCCTGAATGAGAGAAAAAAAATGAGTCAAGCAAGCATTTCACATGAAGAAGAGACCATTGTGATATCTGACAACGAACCACAAAAGCTGTCTGATTCACCCCCTCGTAAAAAGTATCGGAGGCATGAAGAGGACTTACAGGAGTCTCTTGAGGAAAATAAAAACCCAACATCCCTGATAATATCTTCAGAGAGTGGTAATTCCCTGCCTGATGATAAATTACAGGTGAACACAACTATTGATACTCCGAGTGAAATGGAAACAAAGTCATCACAGAACCCCATTTGCCAGACTTTCCCTTCACTTTCAGAAGATGATGATGAAAAAGAGAAGAAAAAGATTGACACATCAGCAATTTTATCTGTAAGTTCCACAGTCAAAGAAGAGAATGCACATGTTAAAGATGAAAAGCTTGTTCCATCTTTGTCATCAGATATTGTCACTAAGCCCAAAGCCTTGAAAGAAGAAGAAAAAAACATATGCTCAGAGACCACTGCTGTTTCCTCTGAATGTTCTACGTTCTCAGAGAATATTGAAGATCCTGGAGAAGGTCCTTCAAATCCAAATCCATGCACAGATGCCACCCAGGATCAACCTTCTGTGGAATCAGAGATAGGTGCTGCAACATCCTCTGCAAGTTGTTCAGGGGAATGCCAGGCTTCAGTTAGTGCCTCTAACCCTGTCCTGGATTATTCACTTCTTGTGAATAATGAAAGAAGTTTTCAGAGGCTGGATTTAGAGGAACTTGAGGAAGACATTCAAGCTTCTGACAAGTCACCGAATCTAAATCCTGTTAGTGCTTCTGCACTAGATGACAATGAGGAAGATGAAGAACTCCCACGCTTCATTTTAAATTATGAGCCACGTTCATTTGAAACAGGAATGATAGTCTGGTTTAAATATCAAAAATACCCATTTTGGCCAGCAGTGGTAAAAAGCATCAGGCGTAAAGAGAGAAAAGCAAGTGTGCTTTTTGTTGAGGCAAACATAAATCCTGAGAAGAAAGGCATTAGAGTACCATTCAGAAGACTAAAAAAGTTTGATTGTAAGGAGAAACAAGCACTAGTGGATAAAGCCAGGGAGGAGTATAGTGAAAGTATCGACTGGTGCATTTCATTGATTTGTGACTACAGAGTTAGAATAGGTTGTGGATCTTTTACAGGCTCTTTCCTTGAGTACTATGCTGCTGACATTAGTTATCCAATCAGGAAAGCAATCAAACAGGATACCTTCAGGAATCGATTTCCAAAGCTCCAGAGTGATGATACTGTGGAACAAATGGTTGTGACTTCCCAGACCAAGAAAATGGCCTTCCAGAAAATTCTCCCTGACCGGATGAAGGCTGCTCGGGACCGAGCCAACAAGAACCTGGTGGACTTTATTGTGAATGCAAAGGGAACAGAAAACCATCTTTTGGCCATTTTAAAAGGCACCAAAGCATCCAGATGGCTGAAATCATTTTTGAATGCAAATAGGTTCACACCCTGTATTGAAACATACTTTGAAGATGATGATCAGTTGGATGAAGTAGTAAAATATTTACAGGAAATCTACAAACAAATAGATGAAAGCATGCTGACTCGGATAAAACATGACAAAATTAAATTCATCCTGGAAGTTCTCCTGCCAGAAGCAATTATTTTCTCAATTTCTGCTGTTGATGGATTAGATTATGAAGCAGCTGAAGCAAAGTATCTAAAAGGGCCTTCTCTCGGCTATAGGGAAAGAGAATTATTTGATGCAAAAATCATATTTGAAAAGAGACGGAAACCATTAACAAATGAAGCTCATTAAATATCCCAAGAGTCAAAACCATAACAAGGAGCTTTTACAGATGTTAGTTTAAAAAAAAATCTCATTTCAACAGTTCTCTCTACAATGTAAATATTTTCTGAAAAGGAAAGACTTTGAGCAACATGTTCACTTTTTTTTTTAAAGATCTCTAGGATCTGCAGAGATCACTACATGTTTATTTTCTTATGCTTCTTCAGAGTCAATTTCATCAGCATATTTCAGAATTTTTACTTTCAAATACATTTTTAGAATGCATAATTCCTAAATGATTTTTAAAATAAAGGACTCTTTGGTTTTATGACATTTTTGTGTGTATGCTGTATAGGAAAATGCAGTATGCACAATCATTTCAATATTAAAATTGCACTGGTGTTAGATATTAAGCAAGATAGTTAGAAAAGAAGTCTAAAAGAAACATGATTATATTTTTTTGCTTAATTTTTTATAAAATACTGGGTTTTCTCTTAAAATAGTTGAATTATTTTTCCTGCCATGCCTATTTATTTTTGGAAAAAAAGTATCTCTAAGACATAGAACCAAAGATAGATGATAGATAAGCTTTGCTGCATATTATAACTAACCACAGTTGCTTTTGCAAAATAGTCTAAAGTTTAAAAATAAAGTAAATGGATTATCTGCATGCAGTCTATATTTGTGTGAATAACATTTCAGCATGCAGAAAAATATTTCAGCAGCCTTGAACAGGATAACCAATTCTATACTTCCATGAAATTCAGTTTTGTTCAGTGTCTGTCCTTAAAATGGTTGAATAGTTTGTTAAAACAGACAGGCTTTTGGCTGTCTTCATAACTAACCAAGAGTGGATCTTCTTATTATAGCTGTCTGACCACATGTAAAAGGCAGCTACAGTCATTGTATCCACAGTCTGGTCACTCTAAAGTCCAGACTTACTGCTTAAGAGCCCATGTAGTTTGATGCAAACTGTAGAAAAAGCAAGCACTACATTTTGAGTCTTATTTCAAAATATGTAGTCATTTGTCTCAAATTAAGCAAACTTTAGCATCCGGCTTATTTGTACAGAAGTTCCCATTGATTCCAGTACTAATATGTCAACTAGTAAGTCATTCCAAACTATCAGAAGGAGTAGATGGACCAAAACCTGGGAATTTGGAAATGGATCACAGAAAAAGCCCCCATTGGTTAAATATGGCAATTACCGAAATATGGTTAAATATAGACAATCGATAGGATGAAGCGGATGAATATATTCTAACTCAAAACAAGATCTTTGTGAGACTACATCTTAGAAAAACTAGTTTATTGTTTTTTAAAACTTGTTATGATAAGAAGTGCTGAAGACTTAACATGAACCTGTCTACAATTTTACATCTTCGAGTAAGACGGCTGTTATTCTTGGGCTCTTGTTATATGTTCACATAGCTACATGTGTATCTAAAATTTTTAAAAATTTGGTATTTTGATTTGTAATAAAACCATTATTTCCTTCACTTTGGATATTTACTCCATACTCCAGATTATATAGCTACATAAGTGATGTGTTGTGTTTTTTTGGAATTTTTGCTTTTTGTAGGTGCCATCATTTTAATGTTTGTTGTTATAAGTTATGATTCTGAATAAATATTCATTTCCATGGTTGATTTTGTGTTATTTTAGAAAAAAAGCCTTCCCAATTTTATGTGCTGCAGATCCTACAAAATCTTCTATGGATCCAGCCTGAACTAATCCAAATAGTTTCCTCATGGCCTTGAAAAGTATTTGAAGACATACCATCACCACACAATATGTGGACTTTATAATCTAGGAAAACACCCTTATTCATGCTATAATACTGTGTCCCTCTGATTCCAATGTATTACCCACTTCAGTATTTTCATTGAGCTATCTGTCTCCTGGTTGTAATATTTTACTACCTAATTTAATATTTACTACCTCATTTATAGCCTTATGAGGAGAGAAAGTGATAATGTGGTTTAATGCTGTGCTCTGAGGTTAGATTACAGGGCACACAGAAGATACTATTCCTGTAAATATTCATGTAATTTTTAAGATGATTACAATGTGCAACCTCATCACAATGAGAAATATTTTATTAACCTTGTGGACTGATTGCCTGTATTCGAAAATCAAAGACCCTTGTTTCACCCTATTTGAGAGTTCCTGGGTATCTGATTTGGGGTAAAGAATGAGTATCGGATCTCTCTTGATATGTCATTTATCTTGTGGCATATGTTCAGGTGAGGCAGGTGTGCCTCAGACACATCTATTCTCTTTGAGTAGGTGACTGAATGGTATTTGGGTTATGGAAGAAGATGGGTTTGGCGTCCAACTGAATGTGGACTCTGATTACTTCTAGCCTGAGTCGTTGTTAAGGAAGGCTCTAAGATTGCCCTAAGCTGGGTCTCTAACATAGGTTTGTATCTCTGATGGGAAAGACTGACCCATCATCCACCCTAACCCATTGGATTTAGAAGACTCTCATTTTCAGTTATAAAGCAGACTGCTGAATATGAGGCCCAGAATCTGTTTGTAAGGTCTGTAGGACTTCAGGGAGACAGCATCCATAATATTTATAGGTATCTCTATCCATTTGTCTAGGTACCTATCATCTATCTATGACAAGTAGAACTCTGAGACCTGGAATATAAATTAATGTAAGAATCTTGAATACTTAAAATCCCCTGATCCCTCAGCCTGGCATTTGCAGCCACCTAAACCCATGCTATCAGAGGACAGCCTCTTTCTGGAGAAAATGCAATAAACTCATCAGATACAGTTACCTCAAAAGATGTTACCTGTATTAGTCAACAACTAGTGCTGATATTTTTCATTGCCTCCAGCTCATAACAAAGATAAGGTATCATCACAGCACAGGGGGCAAATTGCAGTCTCTAATTAGGGGAGAAGAACTTTATATTCAGAAAGAACTAGTAGGAATGGGCTAATATATACTATAATAAAATAGGATAATATATGGTGGAATGCATTTTGAGGATGTCAAACTAGTATGGAAAGAGAGCAGAACCTAAGTGAATATAGAAGAGAACTTAGCAACATGGGATCATACACCTATAACTTGGTTCAAAGACCTGGAGTTGGTCTAATATGCTACTGGTGTGGCATCTTTTAATCTTGGACCAGAACAGCCTACTGGAACATTTTTGCCAGAGTACTGAGGAATTGGTGAGATCGCCAAGGGGATAGGAGTATAAGAAATGATTTACTGTGTGAGAAGACAGAACCTGTCTCTGAACTATTTTCCCTAGGAGGGAAGAGAAGGCACAGTAATGATAAGAAATGTGTTGATGAGAAACACTTGACATTTTTTAGTATCTCAAGTGTTGGCTCTCCTTGGCAAACCATGGTTGGAAATAAACTATATTGCAATGAGGATGATGAGATTCCAGAATTGTAGGGCCTAAGTGGCAGCACAAAACCCGAGAGGCAAGGTAAGTATCTTTTCCCTAATGGGAGGCAAGATCAGATTAGAATCAGGTAATTTTGATTGATTAAAATCTGTAGCAATGACTGGTAGATAGTAGTATTCCAGGGCTAGGTGTATGGACAGGTGGCTGGTATATTACTTCTTATGTACAAAAACAAGATGTGACCTACTCAGCCAAATCTGATGTTAGCTGCAGTGGAAAATTATGGTCCCCTACCAAGTTGAAGATACACAGTACAAGTTGTCCTACCACTAAAGCCATATGACTCAGCATATCTGATAGTGCTAAGATCTTTTCCAGTATTATCTATAAGGATTAGAATGTATTGCAACACAGAATTCTGAGGCTCTGAGGAAAAACTGTGTCCTATAAACTAAGTGCCATTTAAAAAAATAACTCCTTGTATAATATTAAGTCTTAATAAATAATAGTCTAACCCAATAGACAGCAAGTGACTAGATGATAGAACCTGCCAATCATAAGCTGTACATTAAAATTCACCAAGTGTTAAGGTCCAACAGGCTAAACAGCAGTCCACCCCATGTTGGAAATGATACTATTGGTATCCAGCCTGATATAGCATAGCACAAGAAAATCATCAGGTTGCACAAATCTCTGTGACACTAATAATTATTACTTTTTAATTTTTTTTCAGTTGTCGATGGACTTTTATTTATTTATTAATTTATATGTGGTGCTAAGAATTGAACCCAGTGCCTCACTCATGCTAGGCAAGTGCTCTACCACTGAGCCACAACCTCAGCCCCCACACTGACAATTATTGCAATGATGTCCCTCCCTTCAGTTCTATGGGCTCATGGAGTAGAAGGTGACCTATGACCAACAAATGAAAGAGGCAAATATCAAACCTGATGCACAGATGTCAGCATTAAATGTTAATAATAGATGTAAATTGACTGCTGCCATACTTCAGTATCAGTTAAAGTAGCCCTAAGGAATAGTGTTGATGGGAAAACTCCTAATTGGCTGAATTGTGAGCAGTACACTTGGTACTGTACTTTGTACGCAGGGGATCTAATGAGGTGGTATTCTGGACTGTGGAGATTAATTTGGCTGGTATGTTCAAAGTCTTGGAAGGAGAAGGATTAGAAATTGAATAGATGAAAGTCTAGATAAGAAGCATGGGAATGGAACTATGGGAATGGAAGCAAGTCACGTATGTACCTGTGCTTCATATTAATTGTCAAGAGAATGACTATATAGAGAAGGCACTCAAAAATTAGTGGATCTAAGGACTCATGCTATGGGTGTTGAAAAACTTCTCTCTTGAAATAAGTTATCAATACCAGGAATGAAAGATGTGATATTACTACTAATCCCATGGACAATAAAGGATAATAAAATCCTATCAACATCATCAAATATATTATTTTCATTTCTTAGATGAAATGGACCAACACTTCAAATAAAATTAAAGGTAAATAAATACCATTTTGTTTTATAATGTTTCTCTTAAGTATATTTGATATTTAAACAGAGTTCACATTTTGATATGAAAAGGCACTAGTGTCATATATTAAGCAACAGTAATTCTAAAAATTAATGTTTTTCAGAAATATCAATTGAATTTTTTGCTTTATTGATAAAAACTTGGATTTTTCTTAAGCTAATTACTGAATTTTCCTTATGTTGGGTATTTACTTTTGGAAGAAGGACTGAAATGTCAAACAAATGACAGAGATACTTTCTGTGCTTTCTTATATATTATCACCAACTTCATTTGCTTCTGCAAGAAAACTTTTTGTAATTAAAAGAAAGTTAATACATTAGCTTTATTCAGTCTATATGAGAATAAAATCTCAGTATGCAATAATTAATTTTGTCAGCCTTGAACAAGATTGTTCACTGTATACAATCCCTGAATTTCCTTGCATTTATTAGAGTACCCATTTATCAGTGGTGTGGTTGGATGGTTTCTTGAAATACCCAGGCTTTTCATAACTAACATTGAGTGACTCTTCATAATATAGCCATGTGTTCTCATGTGGAAAGCAGCTGGAATCACTGAATTCAGGAACTGGCTACTCTAGACTTATGGAGTCTATACTTACTGCTTTCTATGGTTTGGATGAGTGTTCCCCAAACGTCCATATGTAGAGGCTTGGTCCCTAGGGTGGCAGGATTATTAGGAGTTTCTGTGTGGTTTTAAGTAGTAAATCCTAGTGGGAAGTCCTTAGGTCATTGGGGGTGTATCCCCAAAATAGATTGGGACCCTGGCCTGTCCTCTCTCTCTCTGCTTCCTGGTATGAGATGTTAACACATCTGACACATGCTCACAACGTGATGCTGCTCTTACCAAAGGCCCAAACCAATGGGGCTCTCCAAGTTTAGACTTGAACCTCCAGAACAATGAGTCAAAATAAACCTCTCTTTTTTTCATAAGTAGCCTGTGACAAGTTGTTTCATAACAGTGACACAAAGCTGAAAAATGCCGAATTCATCCAGTTTGTTATAAACTGAAGAAAAAGCAAGAACTCTTCTGAGACTTTTAT